ATGAGTGGGAAACAAATTATTCCCTTCTACTCTCAAAGGCCATCAGTGTCTGTAACACGCAGCCTGCATCACACAGGTCCTCAAAGGGCTCTCCAGAGGTGCCTTTAAGACTTGCAGGTGCTCCTGCTGCTGTCTGGCAAAGCCCATCGCTGTTTGCTTGCAGACCAGGTATTTGGCTTGTAGACGTGCAACTTGAAGTCCTGAAGAATGAAAAAAGCAAATGCAGAAACTTTCAGTGCTAGCAGAAACCAAGATCTTGTAGCTGGTGAGAGGCACAGCATGGCACAGCGTGGCAGGGATGAGTTCTCACTGTGCTTACTGCCTGTAGGGACTGGCATGTCACTGCTCCTCGCTGCTTTGAAGTCCCCGTTTAAAGAACAGTTTTCTCCCTATCTGCTCTTCCTACTTCCTGATAATACAGTTTTATATAAACTGCAGTAATATTTAAATTCAAGTAAATACATGCAATATTCAAAAAACTGAGTTCCAAAGGTTTCTCTGAATTCCCTCTTTGTGTGCATATGTTGTACCTGTGGCTGGCCACCTAGAGAATCTTTAAGGAATTCACCTTTCTGATGCTGTCAATGTATCACTCCGTTCCCAGCGTAACCAAGCAGTGCTGCAGGCTTTGCTTTGCAAAGAGATTTGCTATTTACACAGCGCTGCAGAAGTGAACCTGTGTTTTAAAATCACTGCAGCCAGAGGTTATGCAGACTGTGCAGCTGCAGGGTTTGATTCATCTGAACACACTGAGTTAGGGACTGATTTAGACTTGGATTTCAAACTTGCTCTGTGAGCGTTATGTATTCAGGTCTGCCTCTTCTGTTTATAAGATCAGAGTTCTGAAATAATTTAGAAATACATCCAGAAAATAATTCAGAATAATTCAGGAAAAATTCTCTCAGGTGCCCAATGCGTGGTCTCAATGGCTGCAGCTGCTGGCACTGCCTCAGGAATTGTGTTTGAGTAGGTGACTGGGCTGCCCATCCACAGCTGCTAATGGCACATCTGCTTGTGTTTTGCATGTGGAGTTGCATGTGCCATTCTGAAAATGGCAATTACTGCCCCTTCTCCCAGGTCTGACTGCTATTGATCTATGGATGGAGTGCAGAGTGAAGGAATTTTGTTTGTGCAGAGGTGAGCTGATGATCTTAATCATACCACAAATTTCCATTTTGTTTAGAAATCCAATCGTAACAGCGAAAACCGAACAAGAAAAGTCTCCTTGTTTTCTGGATGATGTTATTTGTTTATCCGCCGAAGTGCTTTGCATTTCCTCAGGTCACAGACCAGCCCGTGTCTGGCCATGTTAATATTATAAGAGTTATGCAAAAGTAAAGTTTAAGAAAAATCTTTCAACTGAAAGAAATAGGATCTTAAAATCCCAAAATAGAGTATGGAAAGGTACACATCATGTCTGGCTTCTCCTTCCCCTTGTGGCAAATGTGACTCAAAGGAGTTGGTTTTTTTCCAGCTCGATCTGTATACAGTTTGGGGGAGTTTTATTGTGAATAGCTCACCTTATAATACACAAACATATTTCCTTCCAGAGTTCTCTATTCATAAATCTTTCTTAATTCTCACACTCTCGAAACTGAAATCCAGATCTTTTTTTTTTCTTTTTTTCCATCACTGCAAGAAGTGAGAAAGGCAGTAGGACAGCACCTTGGTGCAGGGCTGCTCCTCTGCCCTCATCCCTGCTGTGCTCCCACTCCAGCTGAGCAGCACAGCATTGCGCCCTGCCCTTGGGCAGCTGCAGCTCTGCTGTGCCAGCTGTGCTCTGCCCTTCTGAGGGATTAGCAGAGGAGTGGGACTAGAAAATCCTGAGGCGTTAGAGGAGCTTGGTTGTTGCTAAGGGAGGAAAAATGAACTTCAGAGTTACTATTAAGAAACTTCACTTCTCCATAGGGTTCTTTGAGAGCCTCTTTTGCCCCCCCCCTTTGTGCCCCCAAAGAAATGTCAGCTTTCTGCTAAATTGTGAGGTAGGTGCCTAGCACAGAGGTGAGTGTCTGTGCAGGCTGACAGTCTCATCCAGCTCAATTTTGAGGAAAACTGTACCTGAAACAAAACTTCAACGTCTTCTTTCATTCTAGTTCACAATGCATTTCTGTGTATGAAAAAGGCAGCACAAAATACCAATTCCTTCCTGTCCCTGTGATTTAGCATCCGCATTGCCCTGTTATGGATGGAGAGAGATTATATGGCACAACCAAAGCAATGCAGCAAGTTAGTGGCAAATCTTGGTGTAAAACTCTGACTTTCATGTGCTTACAGCAGTTCTGTCAGCTGTCCATCCCGTTTTGTTCCTAAGTCATCCTGGTGTATTCTTGGTGTATGAGTGGCAGATGGAAATGCTTGTGCTAAATGATCCCCTGTGTAATCCTTTAAAATGTAAAATATAAGCAGTTAGCTCAGGATAAGAACATCATTTTTAAATTAGGTTGCAGAACACTTTTATATATCTTTTTTTCATTGTATTTGATTTATATAATGCTATTTTGATTTACAGTGATGTCATCCCAAAGCATTCCCGTGGTGCCATAAATTACCAACTAATTACTTTACTTTCTTCCACTGATGAAACTGTTTATTTAAAATCTGGTCCTGTGAAGGACGAGGTCTTTTACGATGTGTTTTACTGCTCTCGACCCTCAGGTGACACAAACTTTGCCATATGAGCAGACAATTGACTCCTCTTTTTTTAAGCGTGTATGCATTTGTACGGGTGTACACCTACATGTGTGTATGTTATTAGAAGACCAGGAATAGTTTTACCTTGGGAATGTGCTCTGTACAGGAGCAAAACCACCCTTTACAATTAATTTTCAAGGTGGTCAGTATTAAAACCTGTGTATGGGGCAGTTCTGCTATAGCTGCTACTGCCGGCCCTCACCTGGGGCAAATTTTCCTTTGTAATTTGTTACCTGTTTTCCTCTGTTCCAGTCTCCCAGTGATAACTCTGGGTTTTGCTCGGCAAGTTCATAGGTGGAGCAAATGCTGCATTGCTGTCACTGCAGCCACTCTTCAGCCCAAAGCACCTCTCGTTGTCCTTGCTGGGTCCACAGATTGTGCTGTCAGGCATGATGATAACTGTGCTCAGTACTTAAAAAAAACTCCTCTCTTCTCTTTCTCCCTCTCCCCTTGTAAAGACAAGATGGCTTTTTGTCATACAATGGCTTTTTGCTGAAGGCCAGGAAATCCTGAATTTTGAAAGAACTGTGCTTAGGCTGCATTTCAGTGTTGCTCCTGGAGGACCTGGGCTTAGTGGGCCTCACCATGGGTAAGCAGGGGATGATTCGCACATGCAGTTCTGTTCTCAGTAGACCTGTCGTCCAGACCTCTGTTGTCTTCTTTTTGCCTCACTCTGTCTCTTTCTGAACCTCCTCACGGCTGCCATCATATTTAGCACATTCTAGACAGCGTTGCTCCTCCAGTACCAACAGCTCTTGTGCTTGGAGCCCAGCTCTGCTCCTTCCTGCCTGGCTGCCAATTGGCATGTTGGCGCAGAGCCTCGGACCCTAAATTCCCTCCTAACAACGTAGCAGAGTGCTTGTGTGAGTGAGTTATTGTAGATGTCTGAGCTGCGTCTGGGCTGGGTTCTGAGGTTCTTCCATGCATGACCCGTGCTTAAGTCTGTTGGCTTCAATGGAGCTTTAGGTTGTAAGGTCTCTGGGGCACGGACATCATCTTTGTGTGCCTTGCAAATATGTGCTACGTGAGTAATGATAGCTTAGCAGAGCGAGTGTCGCTTTACATTTGCCATACTGGAGGAAGGTTGCCAGGATCGTGTTGATGCTGCATGTGGTCCCCTTCCGGGGGGGATTAGTCCTTCTGTGCAAAGATACCTCCTGCTGACTGCTGAGAAGAGAAAAAGGAAAAAAAAGAGGAGAAAAAAGAAAGGTTTGCCGTAATTACCATTAGCTTAATCTTCCTTTTTTGTGTGTTCTTCTAGTTCTGTTTGCTTTGCACAGCTTCATCAAGCTTTTGTATGTGGATGGAATAATTGAAAACAAATTTGGTGTGTCTCAGGCTATAACGTTCCCTTTCAGCTAGATCGCTAGCCATGTGGTAGATAAATGTCTGTTTTTCATTTTTGGTTATGTGAGAAATTTAGGATGATTTGATTTGTAATTTTGAATGTTAATGAAGAAGAAGACATTTCTTTGTCTTCTGGCCTACAAAGAAATTCTGGCTTTCTTGCTCCTCTTGAAGCAAATACTGTTTAGGAACATGTTGTTTATTATAGAAGAGTTTCTTTATGTCTTTGAACTGTAGAGGGTTCTTACCCTCTTACATCTAATTTAGCCAAGTCCTCACTGTGTCACAAAACAAAAAGACCATCTCTGTCTGTACAGATGGGATTTAGTGGAAGGCAAAAAGAGTGGCTGAAGGCAACATCCTTCCCCAGCAACTGGGGGAAGGATGAATTTCAGTGAGCAGGGAATCAACCCCACGCGAGTGTGTTTGGAAGAACAAGAACATATATATTTTTAAGGCTATTAAGGAATTTTGCAGACCGAGAGCTTTGTAGGGTGGAAAAGTAGATATTAACAGAGAACATCCTCCCTAGGGGAAGAAGATGGTGGGCAGAAAATACAGTGTTTGTCTGTCTGTGAGCAAACAGTGTATGTGAGCACAGTGAGGCAGTGGGTGGTGCATTTCAGCAGCAGTGATGTTGAAAGACAACCCGCACTCCTGATGGCCATGCAGATTTTTATGAGTACAGCTTGCGGGCTCCTGTTCATCACTGGCAAAAATGCACAGCTAATGATGACGACCAAGTTGGAAAATTCAGTGTTTTGTAGCTGAGAATTTGCTCTATCAAGCAGTGTTATTGCACTATCTGTATTTGTGGTAGTTTCCATGGAAATAAATAGGGGGCATTACTTTTGGAGAGGCTTACTTCCTGATGTCCATATCTGTGAGCATCTCAGTACCTCTGCTGAAATGAGGGTATTCCAAGCTCTGTGTGTGACAACTGATTCTGAATGTCTTGCCAGCTTCACGGTTACATGGAGAACAAACCATTGGGTCTTCAGATCTTCATCGGGACAGCAGATGAACGGATACTCAAACCTCATGCCTTCTATCAAGTCCATCGCATTACAGGAAAAACTGTCACCACCACCAGCTATGAAAAAATTATTGGCAACACCAAAGTTTTAGAGATCCCACTGGAACCCAAAAACAACATGAAAGCAACGTAAGCATATTTCTTTTTATTAGCAAAGTTGTGAATGTTAAGTTCTTCCTCCCGTGGAAAGCAGAAACTTGAATGGATAAAGATGTCTGTCCTGGAAAGACTCCCCTTTCCAAAGCATTTGGATGATAATGAATGTAAGGCCCTTTTTACAGAAGTTTGAGCAGACAGGTACAGGTACCTGGGAGAAAGCTGGTAGCGGGGTTATCGTTCATCAGCTAAGCGCGCACATGTTTTTGCTATTTGCCCCAGTTGCTGCAGCCTGGTAATTGCCTGTTGTATCCAAAGTCAGAATGGTTCGGTGTGGCGCTGAGGAAAATGAGACTCAGATCTCAAGTCCTTATGCCATGGGGATGCGAACAAGGAGCAGTAGACAGCGGAAGAAAAGCATACATTTCATTTTTACAACAGTTAATGGAATAGAAAACATCTCTCCTGAGCTCAGCCAAGTGCTCTGGCCATGAAATTGCACTCTCCTGTTGTAATAGGTTACCAGAAAAGCAAGTACAGGCACATCTTTTCTGTATTATTCCTTGCAGTTTTATGGAGGCAGAGGGATGAAGTGGGCACCAGTCTGAAACTTTGGGCTTGAATGTGTGCCAGACTGCATGAGAGTGATTGCTCTGCAGAGGGAAGGGCTGTGTCTCCATCCTTCAGAGGATACTGACAAACTTGGCAGAGAGGCTTTGTTTTTAAGCCCCCCTGCGTCATTGCAAAATCCGCATTCTTTCTTTATATATCTTCTTTTTAATAGAGTACATACCTAATTTCTCCCTTTCCTCTAAGCCTCTCCTTCCCTCTGCATCCAAAGAAGTAAATAAAAGCCTGCATTTCAAATTTAAGCAGCCAAGTGCTAAATGGAACATGACTGTCTCTTCCTAACAAGTAACCCTGGAATAATAAACCCCTGCACATAAGCAGTGGTGAGGGGGTAGGAAACTGAGTTGGATTTATCCTCCCAAAATGTGATTTTCATTCATATGGAATGTGTGCTATTTTTCAAATGGATACAAAAACACGTTGGCAGTGCCTGTTGATACCTGCACTCACTGCACCCTCTGAGCTGAAGAACTCAGATCCTGCAACTATGTATTGGCACTTCCTCTTGCTTGGGCTCTGCTGTAAGCAGACAAGTTTACTGTGCTACACAGGGCTCGCTAGAAATCAGCCTGCACATAAGCACGCAGTGTTAAGCAGCAGCGCTGAGTACAGCGGTCCTCATCCCCTCATTGCCCCCTCCTGCTCCTGTCAGCCTCCCTTTGTGCTTTGGCGAATGGGAGCAGAGAAGAGTTTTCTTTTTTACTGGGTGGTGCCCGCTCTAAATGGCCTGTGTGTTTGGCAGCATTGACTGTGCGGGGATTTTGAAGCTGAGGAACGCGGACATCGAGCTGCGTAAGGGTGAGACGGACATCGGCAGGAAGAACACCCGCGTCCGGCTTGTCTTCCGCGTGCACATCCCTGAGTCCAGCGGCCGCATCATCTCTCTGCAGGCAGCATCAAACCCCATCGAGTGCTGTAAGTACCCTGAGATCTGCTGGGAAGCAGCAGGCGTGTGCGGCCGGGGTCGTGTTTGCATCGTGCTGTTCGTGCAGGACTGGTCTGTAGAGTGAAGGTGCAGCCAGAACTTGTTATCTGCAAGCTGGTGGTGGAGGCTTGGAATCCAGACCTGGGTAGGGTCCCAGCTCTGTGATGGGAGCACAGATGAAATGGAGTGCAGGTTGCGTTTAGAGGCTTGGGCCCATCCTGGTTGTTGTCTTTTCTGGGCGATAATGCTGCTGGGGTGTGTGCTGCTTGTTAGGCTGCAGTTGAAGCAGGGAAAGCCCAGGCTATTCTGGTATTCCCCTGAGAGACAGAAGAAAACTCACAGTTTTGATTTCTAGGGGCATATTCTATAAGTGTGTAAGCTGAGAAACCTGCACCTCCCACTTGTTAAAACATCCTGAGAAAGAGAGGCCTCCAGCAAGGTGCCCCCAGGATCAGTCATTTCTGGAAGGGCTCCACCCACTCTGCTGGTTTACATGCATCCTGTGATGCTTTTTGTTGGTAAATGGTGTCTTTTCTGAGGTTTGGGGATTTCACAAATACAAAATGAACAGTTTTTCTCTTCCTTTGCTGTATGACTCACCCCTTTAGCAGAACCTGTCTTGCCTTAAATCATGTTAAAGTCATTGAAGAGTTTCCCATGTGCATTTTGTTTGTTTATTGAGGGCAGGCTCGCTTAAATAACAGCTACTTATAACAGGAGAGGAGACAACTTTGGATGGAAAATCAGGTCCAACTATTACTAATGAATCATTGGAAAAAAACAAAACAAACAAACAAAAAAAAACAATAAACCAGTAGAAATTAATTTTAAAAAGAAAGCTAAGGAGATAATGATGGGTATGTACATTCTCCTGGCAATTTTTATGAGAGAATGCCAACTATCAGTGTTTTACCATCAAAGCAGAGTTTTTGGGCACTGTGATGGCAGTGAAGAGCAGTGAGAGTAACTACCAGCTGTCTCCAGGGGAGACGGGATTCTCTATGTGACCAAATGACTGAAATGGTAGCGGCCCCAGGTGTGTCCCTGCTGAAACAAAGGTCCATGTGCTAGAGGAAACATTCAGTAAACTGCACATTCTGTGGCAGGAAAGGAATTGCAGGAAAGGATCACCTGGTTTCTCCCTTGGTTTCTTTTCCAAGTGAAAATGTTTTTCTTGTAACGGGGACCTACTCAGGTGGGGAAACTGTGGGTGTGACAGGTAGGTGAGCCGTGCAGACAAATAGCACGGGTCCAGATGGATGGTCCCTGGGTTGTGCGTGAACTCACCAACAACACCCCAGTAATTCCAATCCTCCTACCAGAAAACCAAACACCACTTTCACAAAGAGTGAGCTGAGCAGTTCTAAGACCCTTCCGCAAATACACTGTATTTGTGCCCATCACTGATGAGCATTCAAGCAGAAATCCAGTCATGGTTTACAGAACAAGATCACATTTTCTGAACCATACATGCACACCTAATTTGCCTGTGCAATGACTATTTGCACCAGCTTGTTTAAGATGTCTAGGCATTCATGCTGAGATGTGCTTGCTTAGATGAGTCCTAAAGGCATAAAAAAGCCAAAGGTGAAGATACTAGTCAAGTGGCCTATATATAGCTTTCTTATAATTAAATAATAAGTTTATTGTAACTAAATTGATCATAACCAATGATAGTTAGGCAGATAAGAAAGCATGGACGAGAGATGCATTTTCCTGAACTCATGGAAATAGAGTGTGAAGTGATCTGGAGAAGTAAGCCTCTTCCATTGACAGTGTGTTACATGTTTACAGGGCTTTTGCATTTAGGTAGCGCTTCTTGATGGCAGCCCAGTTCTGGAAGATGGTTAAAACCATGGGTTGGCTCAGCCAGCACTGCTGACACAGACTGAATCACACCAGAGATGGCAGTCAAAGTTTCTCACAGCCTGCTCACGTCGCAGTGCTCAGATTGGCTCAGGCAACCTGACACACCGTGGTATAGCAGGAGCACGCTGGGGCTCCGAGGCGTTTCCTCCTTGCATCCCAGTTTCCCCCTTTCTGTGCTGCTGGGATTCTCTTTTTCTCCACTGTTTGCTTTTTGTTTTTTTGACGTGGCCACGTGGGAGCCCTTCTCCCCACGGCCTCCCCTGGAAGATCTCTTCTGTCTGGTAGCTGTTAATGATGTCTCACCGGGAAAGCGTCAGTAAGTAGCAGCTTTAGGATAGAGAACTGCTGTTTCCCCAGCAGTGGAGTTCCCTGGAGAGCGCTGTTGCTACCAACAGAACATCTGAGTGCTCTCCTCAGCAGAAGCCGATCCTGGCTAAAAACTCCCACCGGTGTCAGCAGATCATTAGCTGCAATGAAGCAACAACTGTGAAGTATCTGCTTTTCTAGGGGGTGATTTGGTTCTGCCTCATCTGTGTCACATTCAGCACTTGACAGGTTTTAGGAGGGGATTTCACAGGTTCAAAGAGCCATCCGGAGCAAGTTCCTCCCCAGGCAGCTGTGTGGGAGGAACACAGAGGTGCTACGTTGTTAAATGATCAGTTATACCTCAAAATGGACCTCGATCCAGACATGCTGTGCATTCAGCAGATCGCAGAGGTCTTATCCTTTTGCCTGTTGATTTGTTCTGAAGCCTCTGAGGAGGCAAAGGCATCTGAGAGCCCTCTGATAATTGTAACAGGCTATCACTTAGGTAGGGAGAAAGAAGCTGCTGTGTTGGAGGTGTGGCGCTGGAAGGGTGAGAAAAATCTCTTTTGACCGTTGCTCCTTGCTGACCTCAAATCTGAGCCTGAGCATGAGTCCTAGTCTCTGAAAGTACTGAGAATACAATTAGAGCAAAGTGCCTCTCAGTTGCAGTCCTTTGCTGCCAAAATACAGTATTGTCATCATCACCACAGCGCGTCTGAGATCAAAGCAGCCATCACAGAGCTGCAAACAGCTGCTGTCACGCGAGGGGGTGAAATCTCAGCCACGAAGAGTCCTGCAGTTAACTTGGCCCTTCATGTGCAGCCGTAACAACAACAAGGCACGCAGTGAATTGCCCCTGGAGAGTTTTGGTGTTCGCAGACCTGGTTGTTATTTTCAATCCATTCCAACAATATCTGTAATATTGGTTCTGTTTGTTTCTTTTGATGCTCCCTACGAGCTGAAGCCTGTTTCTTGGTGAGTGGCTGATCACTGGAGTCGTATCTCTGCTGCTTGGCTGAGATATCCATGGGGTGGAGAAGGAGCAGCATTGAAGGCATTTCAGAGCAGCTACAAAAGCACCTGTGAGAGACTGCCTGCTTTTCTTCGTGCTGCTGACAGTGGGCAGTGCAAACATCTGTGAGATGTGAATGTAAGGGTGGGAGTCCCATTCGCATTGTCACAGGATTTAATTCTAGTGGATCGTGGTCAAAGCTTCCCAAAGCATCTCACAGTTCTTGTTTCATATAGTCTGTGTTTGCTGAAACTAAGCTGTGCTCACAAATCCCTTAAAATACAAATGATGACACTTGGCACGAGAGAGAGAAAAATTCTAAAACCTTGTTCTTATAATAGATATTCCACGGTGGTAAAAACAAAACAAACAAAGCTTATTACTGAAGAACAGTGTGTCCAGCTAAGGAATTTAAAATAGTTTCTATTATTGACAGTATTTTGTTCCACTAAATCGGGTCAAATATCTTATTTCCCTTCAATCAATTTCCCTGGAAGTTTCCTTTATTTTTCTCTCCTTCTAGTAGATTTTCCCATATTAGACAATCTGAGCCTATGATATTTGACACATTAATAACTCCAGAGGAAAGAGCTAGTCATTTGAAAGAATGCTGTCCTGGCAAAGCAGTGAGCGCTTTTCCTCGGCCGCAAGTTGTGCTGGCTGGAATACAGTGGCAGGCAAGAAGGAGCCCTGCTTTACTGAGACAAAGGCATAGAAGCAAATGATCTCTTTGCACCTGAGAGATACTCATGTGCAATTTTAACCAGAAATGTGATTATTATGAGAGTAGCATGGTTTCCAGTTGAATTCAGGGAATCTCCCCTGTTCGCTTCTGTTTCAAGACGTGCAGTTCTCCATAATGCAGCTCATGCAAAAACTGCTGCTTTTCCCAAAGTGAAATTTGTCTCTCTCCTAAAGCACAGAATTTAACAGTTAGTTCTGACATCTTTTGCCACTTTCAGTGTGCAACCAGAAGATTTTAATCTGGAAAATCTGAGTCAGAAAGAGAATGCCCACCCTTTCTGCAGGCTGCAAGCCTTCAGTTTACTTTATGCCTTTGCAGTACTGCTGTTGGTAAAAGTAAGCGACCCAGCCTATTATGCAGACCATGGATTTCTGAGCATAATTTAAGCTCAGCAGATCTCCTCCACAAGGGATTAAAGGGAAATGCTGTGCATACCCACAGAGATGATCGACAGGGAAGTGAACCGAGGCCATGGTTTTCCTGTCATTAATCACATGCTGGTTTGTTGAGCTGGCTGCAGTTCATAGAAAGTATCATACTTATCTGACACTGCTGCCATCAGTGCTTGTCACTCCTTCTTCACATAGGCATCATAAAATAAATTATGTGCAGAGAAGGGGGTGGGGAAAAGTCCTCTATTCTTGGTGGTTTTTTTTTTTCTTGGATGGCTCTGTATGAACTGCTGTTAAGTCGTGCTGGTAACAAGTTGGAAACTGTTGTCATCCCATCCTGGGTTCTTTTTTTGGTAGCATTTAGATCAGATTTCAAGGCTTCACATCGCAATGGTTGGAAATCTGCTTTATTTACTTGGTTCTCACTTAAGCCTTCTGCTACCCGATGGTCTTAGCACGAGGTAAATCCTCCCACCCTGCTGTCCTTGGTCCTCTCCAGTCCCACCATGCAGCTCCCAGCCTTCTCCTCTCTGCCCACCCAGAGAGCTCAGGGTGCTTCAGTGTGTGATGAATGGGATCAAAGTCTCTCAGGACATTAATGCACTGGGTAAGCAGAGGGCACAGGAGTGCTGCTCCTATCAATCCTCCCACAGGCAAGCAGTTTGCAGTAAATAAACACAGAGTGACAGGAGGAAAGAGATATTTACTTTGGCTCATTAAGGTTTGCGCTGAGGTGGAAGAATTAATCCCACAACAAATTACGCTGCTGCTAAGGCACTGCTGTTGCTTCTAGGATTTAGGGTTCTTTTTAGCATCAGACAGGCTGCTCTCCTTGCCCTTCTCCAACCCAACAGGAACTGGTGGCTTCAGCCAGGAGCCTTTGGGGGTTTGAAAAGTCATGTTGGGGTTGGGAGTCATGGTGTGAAGGCTTCCAGCAGGCTGGGGCTGCTGGGGATGTGGTGGGAGCAGGAGGTCCCAAAGAGAGATCTGGACATTTGGCCTGGGACAACTGCTGTGCTGGGGTGCAGGTCTGGAGTCCTCTTTCAGTATCTCAAATTTAGTTTACTTGGCTTGTGATGACAGAGGTAACTAGACGTAATGCCAGCTTTGTCCTCTGAGTTGTGGGTGGTCCTCAGTCCTGCTTTTCATCAGCCAGGATAAGATCGCTTCTGAACTGTGCTCAACTATAGGATCAGATGTAAGGACAGAGAGGCAACTTAAGCTCCGGATCCAGAGTTGCGGCAGGTGTCAGCAAGATAGCACAGAGCAGCTATTCTTTGGCCTCTGCTACACAGAAATTTGCATGGAAGCCTTCAGCCACGCAGCAGAATAAGGCATTGAAAACCTGCACTGATAGAAAGAGGCTATGGAGTGTCTGCCCTGCAGGCAGTTGTCAGACCTGCGCTGCTCTGTGCAGAGCTCGCAAGCCTTTTCCTCCCCAGAGGCAGACCACAGCAGTGTTTTCACTCTGCCTACCTTCCCAGATCCGGCCCTCGCTCATTGCTCATGGAGAAGAGAGATTGCCTAGACAGTTCCTCTCTGGAAGCTGTTAAGATACATTTAGCTTCAGTTAAGACTCCTCATAAAACGAGTCAGCATTTGGGCAAGACAAGGCAGCACCTGGAAAGCCTCCAAGGCAGTGGAAGGAAACACGATGCTCAGGCAGGGCTCGAGCTGCTCATCCAGGGGATACATGGAGGAGTCGTGCTGATGGGGAGATGGAGGGGCTCACAGGCAGAGCTGAGATTTCCTAAGGGGCTTGTATGAGTAACACTTTCCTGGGGTGCATTTGGAGCCACAATAGATGCTTCCAGGTAGTCACTGTCTCAAAATATACCCTTTTCTTCCTAAAAACCCAAAAGCCTCTCTGCCAAAAAAGGACCAATTGTAGGTGCTGTGGGCAGGTGAGGAAGGAAGAAAAACCTCCTTGCCTCGGCACTTTGCTTATGGTCAGCCCACAGGCTTGTGCATTCCATGTGCCGCATTCAGCCCACCAGCCTAGAGGTTTAGGTAGCCTTTACTCTTCTTCCACCAGCTGGCACAGGAAGGGAGGCTAAGGGGACAGGTTGTGTGACATGGCAGCAGCGTGGGGGCCCTGCGTGCAGGGCAGGAGGCGCAGGGACTGCATCCCTCCCAGCTGAGGCTGCCCAGAGGTGGTGCAGTGGCTGGGACAGCTGCTGCCTTTCTCTCTTGTGTCACTGTGTGCATTGTGTTTCTTGGCACTGTGCATCCATGACATCTTGATTTGCAGACAGTCAAATAAAATAGAAAAATAATGCCCCCTATTAATAGGTTGACACACTGCTTCAGGCCAAGTGTGAGTATTTCTATAGCATTTGCTTTGCTGCCTTATGTCAGTAACTGTTGCTATTGAAAGTAAACACCCCAACTGGTTAAATCAACAGTGTTTTGTTTATTCAAAGCTCATAAACTCCAGTAGCTGTAGGTCACTTTATGAAGTGTCAACCCCTGGGGGAAGAGAGGGAATAGTGTGAAATTATTGCATACAGTCCACCCATCATGAGCCATAGAGGAAGGGGATTTATTGGCAATTAATATTTCTTGCAGAGGAAAAAAAAGTAATCCTATTGAGGCAGTTCCATGCTGAACCTGGAGCCTCCCTTCTAGTGAAAATGGGGATTGGGGTGAGATGTTCTTGCAGGCCTGGGTGAAAAATAAGATCTCGGAAAATTAAAACTTTTTTTAGAAAATGGTTTGCAAACCACCCAGAGAACAGTGCAGGTAGAACATGCTAGAGGAAGCCTGGTGCTCAGTAGGTACCTGAATTCCTCCACCTTTCCCTTTGGCATGATATCTACACTGTGAAACTCAACTGGAAAATTTCTAAATGACATTGTTCTGCTGCACGTTTAAAGTAAGTGTGGGTTTTGTGCACCTATAAGCATACACCTATAAGTTATTAATTCTGGGTCTGGTTAAAAGCTCTTCTGGAGATGCCCATAGCCTGTAGCTGTGCCTGTGTGTAGCTTTGCCCCAGCCTGCTGCTGGCCAGTATGGGGCTGCGTCAGGAAACCCCAGGACTCCTCTGCACGCTGCAGACTTCAGGCAGTATTGCTCAGCTGCCCTGCTTGGCTGAGGATGGCATCAGGGTTCCCCAGTGTACCTGCTGCCTCCCCGGCTCCCTGGTAGGTCGTCGCAGCGTACACAAACATTGTGCTGGATGGAAGTTGAACAGAGACTTGGTCTTCAGCAGCCATTTCCAACTTGCCTGGATCCAAATGTAATTAAGATGAGTCAGATGGTTATTTCCAGGCTAAAATTTGTTCTCCTTCAGCCTGAAAAAGCCTTGCAAACCACTGATCGAAGGGATGGCAGGTTACAAAGCGCTATGTTGAGGCACTGAAGTCAGTAGGAGATGTAGATTAATCTGTAATTTTGAAAATTTGGGACACTCAAGAAGTGAACTCTGTGGATTGAATAGGAATAAACAGTGTTTGGGGCGAAGCATAGCTACATTTTCTCTTGAGCGTTATGGACACGATCTTGGTTGTTGCTATTAACTCGTAAGTCTTTGAGGTCTCAAACCTTTGTGATAAATCCAATTATGAACTCATCAAAAGTGTGAGGATTTGGGGCTTGGAATTAATCATGCAGCCATGTGAAAGAAATTAGCAGCTTCTGTGAAAGTAATCTGAATATATAGTCTTAATTGGCAGCATCTTAGCCCAGCTGTTGTAATATATTTGAAGGGAACAATGAGTCATAAGGTTGTTTTAAATAGATTTTTAAAAATGCCTTTTGAACAGCATAAGAAACTTACAGATATTGACTTATTAGTATTTCTAACAAGAGCAAAAGTTGTCAGACTGCAGAAGAGCTTCCACTGAGCTTGTCCTTACTAGAAAACTTGCCCTCCTCTCCCCTGCATGTCTGTCCGCATGGTTTAATGCTTATGTTTTCCCCCCAAATATACCAACTTTGTTTTGCTGCAGTGAGAGAATTTGGGCAGCTCTCTCTGCAGCCAAGAGCTTCAGATTTTCGGCTCTTGTAAGGTTGCAGAGCAGTAAATGATGAAAAGGATGCCTGCACCACAGCTCTGCCCATGTGAGAGTGGAAGCCCAACATGAGTGTGTAGGATAACATTTCATTATTTCTGGCCCAGCACTGATTGGTGTCCAGTGAAGGCAAGACACAAGTGCTCAGGGCCTCTTGGGAGCTTGCTTTTTGTTACAGAAAGTTAAAATCCAGCCAAGGCAGCTGCTAAATAGATGAGCGGCATCCTCTGGAGGCCTTTCCAGTTGGGGTGGATGAATCTGGAGGAGTTTGAGTGCAGGTCACGAACTCGCAGCTCACCAGCCCCAAACTGCTGCCCACCTGGTCTGCTCACAGGGAAGCTCCTGATGTTTTCCAGCTGTCTGTGTTGCAGGGAATGATTCTCATGTTGCTTTCTTCGGCTCCTGCTGAGTGAGTGAGTGGGTTAAGGTGGGCTCACAGGGAAGGTGAGCAGGACCCTCCGCTGCTTTCCTGACCCCGCACATGGCTGTTTTGATGGGAGGAACGGAAGGCAGGAGGAGAGGTTGTGCTTTCTGGGTTTTCTGAGTGGGGATAGAGGGAATCGCAAAAAGCTGGGGCTGCTGTGCCCCCACGGCTCTGTGGTTGCCCCCAGCTGTGTGTGGGCCCTCAGTGCCCATGGAGACAGTGCTGCTGTGGCAGCCGTGCGGAGCTGGGCTGACATTGGGCATGGTCTGTGGGAGGCAGTGGGTGTTTGTAGAAAAGGTTTATTTTTATTTTTTTTTTTCTGAAGGAATTTGGTATTATTCAGTGGAATCCTCTCTGCAGGTGGAATTTTTGGGCTCCAGTGCTGTAGTGTGCCTGCACTTGAAAATTTGGCCATTTATTTGGAAACAGACATGGGCAAGTTCCAGCTCATTCATCCAAGCTGTCCTTTTTCAAGGACAAGGAGTAAGGCCAGCACAGCTGAATGCTGCAGCCAGCTCCTGAATGTTTCCAAATAAAATGCCTTGAGTAAGTTTATTTTTCCCTCTCAAACCTAAATTTAGCACCCTGGAGAAGCTGCTTTGGCAGTCAGCGGATGGTAACGATGACAAGATCAATCTGTGGATAGTTCTGGGCAGATTTGGAAAGTGCTGGTAAAACAGAGTTGATTTCATTCATGTCTGTATTTTGTCCGCAGCCCAAAGGTCTGCTCATGAACTTCCGATGGTTGAAAGACAAGACATTGATAGTTGCCTCGTGTATGGAGGGCAACAGATGATCCTGACAGGACAGAATTTCACAGCGGAGTCCAAGGTGGTGTTCACAGAGAAAACTTCAGGTAAGGCAGTTTTTTCCTCACTTTCCCTAATGAAACAAGGCAAATCTGCAGTACTGTTGTGTCTCGTGGTGTTGTCCTATGGTTTGTGCTCAACCCTACTCCAGTGAGTAATCCCCTTCAGGTTGCGCTAAGTAAAACCAAATCTCTTGACTTAGTTAACCATGTGAGTGAAATTAGCCCTGGGAGCAAACATCTGCATCGTTGGCCTTGCAGGCGCTGTTGGAAAGTAAATCAAAGCCACGTCGTGGGGAAGGCTCACAACAATACAGACACTGGGAATCAGTGGAAAAAGGATGCATTATCAAAGAAATGAGATGACCGCTACGTGCTCCTTGTGCTCGTGTTTAGTGAACAATACTGTAGAAGTAATAATTGAGATGAGCATTTCTTATTGCAGTGAACTGCAGTCAGAGGTTGGGATTTCTGCCCTTAGAAGTCTGTGGGGGGAAAATGTGCATGATGTGTATTTTGGTATCAAAGCAAAATACTTTTATACGCGTAGTGAGATACAAGAGTGCATCACTTCATCTTCTATATTTTTTCAGATATTTTTACATTTTTTTCAGATCTTTTTACATTGATTGCTTCCACATCACTCCTTAGAAAGAACCCTTTTAAATGTGAGCAAAAACACATATTTCCCCAGCGTGAAGGGAAACAGTGCCTCCATGGGCAAACGAAGTTCAAGACTGTTGAAATATGCTGAAATCAAATGGAAAATACTCCAAAATGCCACAAAACATAAAAATATATTGTGTTGACCAAGTATTGCTTCTGTGAGGGCCTTTCTCTTAGGTGTCAGTTATCTCCAGGCAGGCAGCTGCTGAGCTCTCTGAAGAGTCTCTAACTTTACCACATACCCCTGAAACATAGTTGAAATTTGCACTGCTTCCGCTCGTGCAGGTTTAAGTCACCCCAGCATTACTGTTGTAAGCTGAGGCATTGGGTTAAATTACGCAGCCGTCTCAGCTGTGCACATCCGTGCTCCTGCCCTGCTGGGGGGGCTGGCACTGCATTCTGCACACAGACCTGTGCAGCAGGGCCCAATGCACCCTCAGGACAGGAACCCACAAAAGCCTGTTTTGCTCAGGCTGGAGCAAAACAAATCAGTTCAAAGAGAAAAGTTACCTGTTACAGCACTATACTATTTTTTTTTTTTTCCAGCAGAGCTGCGTGTTTTAAATCATGTCTTTGCCAAAGTTTTCAGGTGATGTTGCTAGCTCTTGGGCAGCCGTGAAGGGAGAATGACTGCAGATTTTAAATTCTCTCTCTTCTCCTTTCATCTTTGCTGTTTATTTGCTTGACTTACGTAGAGTCAGTACAAGATGATCCCAAGCCCTGGTTGGTGTTGGATGAATATAAATAATAATGAGTGGTTACAGGGAGTTATTTAATTGCCTAGCATCACCTCTGCTGCTTTTGCTGAGTTCATGTTCCTGTGTTTTCCTAATGGCATGCCATAATAGACATCACTTGATTTCTGACTCAAATACCTTACCCCAGAACGTATACTTAGTGAGCTCTGGCAGTTCAGGTGGGCAGCAGAAATCCAGCATTCTGCTGTAGTAACATGTTTTCTGGGACCAGAAATTGTTTCTTTTCTATCATGCACTGGCAGGCATTTCATCTCCCTTCACTAAGCAGTATTTGTATCTTATTGGATTTTCTAAGGCTGTTTTACAAAGTGACATTTGTTCATTTGTAGATGGTCTGGACTTGTTTAACTTAGGCTTGATTTTTGCATTCTGAATAATGTGCTCTGCGCGGATTGTAACAACGGCCAGGGAACAGAAAAGCACTTAGCAGTACGAAGGGCCAGAGTCTGCCATCCTTTACTCTTGTTGGTTTCAGTGAGACAAAGGAATTAGCAGTACTAAAAAGCAGTAGTTTGTTTTATGTCAACTTTGCAGTCTCTGTGCTGCTTAGAAAACACTGTTCGTATGTTTCCTGTCAGTGAACTATGGCAGAGAAGGCATAAGCACTGTATCGAGTGACTGGCAAGGAGGGATTTAAGAAATTTCATTGCATGTATGTGATTTATTGGGAAATGCTTTTGGCAAAAAGTAAGAATCAAACCAAGCATTAATGTATATGGGCATCCACTGGTGAAAGTGGGGGGACAAAAAGCATGCTAGGGGCCTGATTTCTTCTCACAGCATCTGCAAGGCATGCTGTTTCTCAGTAAGGGTCAACAGGGCTCTGAGCTGTGAGGGCTCCGAAGAGCCTGTGCAGTCAGTGCAGTTTTCTTGGCACTCTTGGTTTCCTTTTGAGCCCATGTTTTAATTCCTTCCCTCTATGCTGCCACTGTTCCGTCCGTGTCAGCGAATCATGAAGGTGCATGGGAACATGCTTGGCAGCCCACGATGGTACCTGTCCCAAGAATGCTGTGCAGTAACTAAAGGAGATGATACACTAAAAAGGAGGTAGCTCTTAATGCCATTTCGAGGAAACATCTGAAGTGCCCAGCCCTTATTTCCGTATGAGAGTAGAGAAGACTCTGTCTGGAATAGATGTTAGAAAGTAAGAAGGACAACAACATTTTCCACACTAAATCTAAAGCTTTTCTTCGCTACTGGGGAAACTGCACTTTTTTTTTTCTTCTTTTTTTACCTCCTGGTAGTGGAGAGCCATGACTTAGCCCAGCAGCAGCGCTCAGTCTGGAGCAGAGATTTGCATGCTGGCGTTCCACATCCTGCACTGCTCCCCCGCTACCTCTGCAGCCAACCTCGAGCTGCTAGACTTTGGAGAAATGATTGGCAGAGGGGATGTTTGGAGTCTGGGAAGCGTAAATTTAAACCTTTTGTCTGGATCAGAAGTGTGTACACAGTTTGGTGGTCTGTAGTGTGTCTGAGGACTGCGCTCTGCTGCAAGCTTGGTAGTAATTCTTTCTGTGTCCATGCACTGCTTTATAATTCAGCAATAACTCTCTCAGATATGCCCTGAAGTGCTTCTAGTGTGAAGGTTTCTTTCTTTAATAGATACCCGTTAAGATGAAGAAGGTTCAGAAAATGAGCTGGATATACAAATCGTTCAGGGGCTGATGTAACTTCAGCTGAATGCAGTAGGAGAATAAAGCCTTTCTGTGGAGCTTGTACCGATTAACGAGTGTCCCAGCCAGTCTGAAAGTTAGGATCTTACTCACCTGTGACTTTCAGCTTCTCCCTTTATGAACTGTGGACTATTCAAATTATTGTTACAGTTCCGTGCCTGGTTGTTATTGTGTTAGGCTGCATGAACACAGTAAAAAAGGCCAGTTCTGCAGCCGAGTTTCTCAATTAGAAATGTTGCTGGGTGGAAGGAGGAGGTGGATACTGCACTCACCCCGGAGAGCTTGCTTGCTGCAGCGTCTGTCTGCACAGCACTGTGCAGGGAGCTCTGATAAGCTGCTCAGCAGCAAAGTAAACCACAATAAACATGAAGGTGGGTGGATTGCTTGCTGCTCGCGTGACCCTGCCTGTCGCGTCCTCTCCCAACTCACGATGCTGCCCCGGGGAGCCTCTGTAAGAACAGGGGCTTTTGTGAAGGCAGGAACATGCAGCAGCTCTCGGGGGAAGCACAGTTCTCTCTGAGTTTCATTTAACAGCCACAAGCCTTCTCTGTGCCAGCAAGCGCTATTTGATTTCCCACCTTTGCCACTAGTTTTAGCTCTACCAGTGACAGCAAGGGTGAGAACAGCAGTGTGGACAAGTATCTAATGGCTTTTGGCATGCTGTACTCTGCTGATGTTCTTGGTTTGGCTTGTTTGTCTGGATTTAAGATTAGAGTAGCAAATCCCTTTTTTCCCCGAAAACTTTTGTGCAAGTACATCTGTGCAGGGAGGTGTTCTGCTGCTCAGGGTTTCACAGACATTCCACCACCTGGGTCTTCCCAGGGCCTGGGCTATGGAGGTGTCTGCAGGGAGCCAGGTGCCGCTGTTGAAGCTCTACAGACTGGAGTAACCTGCTCTAGGGGCTCACAGCTGTCAGTTAGGTTTTACTCTTCAGATGGATACTTAAAGCATTCTGCAATTTCCTCTGGATTTTGTAGGCAATTGTTCACTCATTACTGTGACACAGTGAAACATGGCTCTGAGAACAATAATGAATAGTTTTTACATCTCTGTTACAGAGCAAAATAGATGTCATTTTCTCCCTAGAAATACCTGGAAAATAAAGAATACTCCTAAAATTACGTTGCGATTTCATTATGAAATTAGCTGCCTTTTTGTATGCTAACTACAAACTAGTGCAATTAACTCGCCACCAAGAAGTCTGTAAAGGATTCATTCTAGGCTTGCCACAGGAAATGGCAGCAGGAAACAAACTGAAGAGGCTGGAGCTCAGTGCTTTGTGTGTGATAGAGGGGATGAAGTGCTTGTGTTTGAACTGCTGATGCCTAAATATAATTCATTTTCTTAATGCTAAGGTTTACCAACAGCAAGCATTATAGTTCTAAGCTCTTTTTAAGGTTGTGTCTTCCTGCTGAGCGCTTGTAATCTCTAGCTGCTGTAGGGCAGGGAAGCTCATGCATTAGAAAGAGCCAGTCAGCACACACAAAAGCAGAGCTGGGTTCAAGATCTGAACTCAAAGAAATCTAACTGAGCCTATCTATCTGAATAAAAATAGGTCAGGGGAAGTTACTGGGTGGGATTATCCAGATAGAAATTTTTGAAGCGTGTGTATTCTTTCAGTTGTGATCTGGAAGAGAGAGCTGGGAAAGCAATCCTGTGGCTATCGAGGGCTTTGAATATGCTAAAGCTCAGGGGTGTTGTAGTTTGGTTATGGCTCACATCTTACAATGCAGTTTAAAAAAACCACACAACAGTTTGGGAATCCCCCCTTGTATTTGTTTTAATTATCATGTAATAATTTGCAAGTCAGATGCTGTTGGTTGCGTTGTTTACTCCCATTTGTATACTGGTTACTGCTGCTCTGCTGTGAGTGATAGAGAAGTTCCGTGTTTCTCCAGGAGAAAAGTGCAAATGGACTGGCTTTCCCGTGCCAAACTCTTATGGTGGCCAC